AAGATTGATTCGTCTGGTTTTGAGAAAGTTGGCCGTAGCAGCTATGTTGCAGTTTTGTTGCAATAAGATCTGCAATAGATGTGGTTCAGCGAATTAATTAAAGATGTGTCAAGCTATTCACAGCTTGCTTATTTATTGAAAGTGTTCTTTAAGTCTTGGTACGCCTCTTGATGAGTTTTTACTGGGTTGTGAGACAGGGGTGAGCACTTGTATTGAGAGAGATGATTTGAGTGTTTTTCGGGAGAAAAACTTAGTTGGAGGGATTCCAATGTTTAAAGTCGAGGGGATCTCGCTGTTCAAGTCCATTGGGAAAATTGCAAGTTCATAGGCGTCTTCTTAGAGAGGGAGTCTCGGGTAGATTAAGTCCAATTGAATTGTAAAAGAGTTCTTAGTGGATTGTTCATCATCTGGGCGTGGCCCCGCGGAGTAGGGTGTTACCGAACCGCGATACCATTTCTCTCGTGTTCTTTTATTTTATGTTTCTGTATTATTCATATTGTCTTAAAAAGTGTTAAAAGACTAAAACCGGTACTAACATTCTTATATTTAAATCTCATCTGAATTCAAATTTCATCATTTAATTTGATAACCTAACATTAATACCCTAAAAATCTAATATTCATTAAACAAGGTAAAAAAATTGGTTTAACGTAAAAAATAATTCTTTTGTGTTCGGGTTATAAGATTAAGAACTAGTAAGATTTCACAAAATTAGAAACAAAAAGAAAGATGTTGCAAGTTGTCAATGGTAGGCGGCTGAAAGATGAAAGAAGATCTTAAAACCCAGATAAATTAATACGCTATAAATTAATAATCGAGATAAAATAATTTTTTTGTCGATTCCCAACTTAGATCAATGGCCGTTAAGTTAATAAACTTGATAAATTTATAAAATAATACATGACAATAAAACCCTTAAAGGTTTCTATATGTGCCACTAATATAAACTAGTAACTTGTTATTATTAAATATATATTACGTGGACGATGATGCCTTAAAATATGAGTGGAATGGTTATTTGCTTTTTTTTTGTTTGCTTCATAATTGTTTGTTGTCCTCCTCTTATTCCCTGATTTGGTATCCTGGATTTAGTGCTTAAGAATTAGTATATTAATAATTTATATATTAGTAATATACTAATAGTAATTAGTATATTAGTAACCAAATAATTAATTATTCAATTACTATTTGAGTGGAAAAAAATTAAATGAATGATTAGTTTGGCTACTATTGCATGCTCCATATCCTTATTGTTGAGACAATGACCTTTTAGATTCTTCCCCATCCACGTTCCTTTTAAAAATGGTTCGTGAATTTGATTGAATTTACGTTGCTGGTCACTGGTACGTTTATTATTAATAAAGAAAAAATTAAATGAATGATTAGTTTGGCTACTATTGCATGCTCCATATCCTTATTGTTGAGACAATGACCTTTTAGATTCTTCCCCATCCACGTTCCTTTTAAAAATGGTTCGTGAATTTGATTGAATTTACGTTGCTGGTCACTGGTACGTTTATTATTAATAAAGAAAAGTGCAAACAACCAAAACAAGTTGGACGTAACTAGTAGGAAACTATGGATAAAACATGGATATGCTCGGATGACAAGTCGGTGATATGTTTTTTTTTTTATTTAGCTTGTTCGAAAGCATTATTGTAACCGAGAAAATAACAACGCACGTTCAATGAAGTTATGAATAAATGATTTATAAAAAATAAAAAAAAAATAAAAAAGGGAAACAAAGAGCCGAAATTATTGAGATATATTATATATACTACCTTACTACCTTAGAAAGAGAGAGAGAGAGAGAGATGAATGAAATCTCAGAATCTTATTCCCCATTTAATTGTTTAATTTCTTTTCGCCGATCGAATGAAAAATATTAACAAAAATTGCATCTAAGACAAATAAAATATATCAAATAATGAAGCAAACAAAAAGACATACAGCAGGTTGTAAACCTCGTTGATCAAGGTAATTTTTAAAAAATTAAGGGTCAAATTATACTTTTTTAAAATTGATGGGTCAAATTATAATTTTTTAAAAATTAAGAGGTCAAATTATAATTTTAAAAATTAAGGGTCAAACCTTGATTTTATGAAGAATTATTAGAACCTCAAAACTTTTTAAATTAGGGTCAAATTTTAATTATAATTAAGGGTCACATTCTAATTTTTAAAAATTTAGGGGTCATATTCTAATTTTTAAAAATTAAGGGTCAAAAATTATTTTTTTATTTATAAAAAATTATTAAAACCTCAAAATATTTGATTCTACTAAACTTTTGAATAATAAAATCCATAATTTTAATAATTCAAGGGTACTTTTGGTATTTACAGAATGGAAAAAAAAATCATTCACCAAAACTATGTTATTTACTTTTAATATATCTACGCTCATATTATGACAGAGCAAAAAAATCTGCACTCATATATAATCATATTATGCCACCCACTTATTTCTCCCAAAGTTCAACTGTTTAAAGGACCATTGCTAGAAAACCACGTGCATAGAAGGACATTGTAGGGCCAGTTGACAATTCAGATGTGGTTTATCCTAATTCGTGACTACGTGTTCTTGATAAACCTGCGTCACATCAATTCCATCCGCAAGCATTGCGCGTTAGTTGCACCGCCCAATAAGGTTTCTTCCTTTCCACAATCTTTTGAGCTTCACGCGCTGTGTTTCTGTGCCTGCCATCCAAATTAGCAGGTGCCATACAAACAATCTACACTGTTGGCGTTGGACTTTTCAGCTTCTGAAACTCAGCAGCTCCGCTTCTGAGGTTACTCAAAAGCTTACTCTTTTTTTTTTTTTTTTTTTTTTTTTTTTTTTTTTCTCTCCTAAGAAAATTGAAGAAAATGATAGGGAATTAATATTTAGCGTTATCAGAATTTACTTTTGTGGTTTATCCAATTTCGTGCTCATTATTGCGTTTGTTGTCATCCACTTTGTGATATTTTCAATGTTTGAAAAAAAAAAGAAAAAGGCAATTATGTACATTCCATGCAAAGGAGAACTTGTCTAAACTCTTGAACTAGAATTTAGTTGTTTGACATATTTGGGTTGGATATGTACCTGTAATATTCTACCTCAGATCTGATGATGCAGTTGTAGATTATGGATTTTGGAACTACTTATGGCCTTTTTGTCTGAAAATCCCTCTTAAGAATTGTGTGTTCATTGCTCATCTTTAATTTGGGACTGTGCCGTTTGCTATAAATAGATTGGGTTTTTTTTTCATTGTTTGTCGTTGGCCCTTTTCTGGACTCTAAATATTTTACAGTTTAATTCCATCATGTTCCTCTTATCAGTTGAATATTGCATAGAGTAAAATGTAAATTCCAAAAAAATTTAAACCTCATTCGTTTCATTAGTTCGAATCATAACTCAAGTTTTTACTATAGTGCTCACAAAAATTCAAATTCAACATTTTTTGCTACAGTATTTTTTTCTACATGAATTCACTTTTTAACTCAAACGAGCGAAACGAACAATTACTTATATCTTTTCGGTCTTTATTCGTGAAAATGCAGGATTGAATCTGATGTACAATTTGATGTTGTTTTGGTTGAGATGAGTACTCAATCATTGATTGTTGGGAATTGTGGAAGGAGTGGAACCAATCTTCATGGCTTTTCACTGCCCCATCTTTATTTTGGGAAGGGAATATTTGGCTGTGATTTGCTGAGTATTTCCTCGAGGAGGGAAAATGGAATTTGGTCAAAAATTTCAGCAGGTTATAAGGTCAGAAACAGAAGAAAATTTTCTGTTAGTGCAAAAATTATAAAGGGGAAGAAGCATGATTATCCATGGCCGGATGACATCGATCCAAATCTCAGCAGTGGTCATCTGACTTACTTGTCTCATTTCAAGCCTCTGACTGAAAAGCCAAAACCAGTTACCCTAGCTTTTGAGAAGCCACTTGTTCATCTGGAGCAAAAAATTATTGAGGCAAGTTGTTTTTGTTCCCCTTTTGCATATTCACTGCTAATGTTAGTATAATCTTCATAGATGAATTGATCAAACTTGAATGTCAGTAGTGCATGTTTTTAAATATTAGATCTTATTAAAATCACATAAAAATGGTATGCAAATATATTGGAATATGACAACAATCTCACAGTTTAAAACAGTGCCCTATCAGTAAGGTATGAATTCTCATTAGTTCAAAGTTGTGATACTTCTTAGGCTTCCCTAGTTTACCATCATTTACTCATGTAAGGATTGATATTTTAGCCCTTGAAAGAGCTTCTTGTTTTATATTTAACACGTTTATCTCATTGAAGGTGCGAAGAATGGCTGATGAAACTGGTCTAGACTTCAGTGATCAAATTGATGCACTGGAGCGCAAATATCACCAGGTGAGTTCTTCAGTTCTGGATTTCCTATATCAAGTCAAACGTAGGTTTTTAAGAAACAGAAATTTCAATAATGGACAACAAAAGCATTTTTAGATTTTATGTTGATCATGCTAACATTAAGATAGCATGTTAAGCCCAAGCCCCTACAAACTTATGTTAGGCGTAGGGTTAGGGGGGCAGATTAGTCTTTTGGTATTTTATGGATTTAGAACTTTAGTATAAAGAGGGCATTAGCAAGTTAATTATGTTTATGCTGAGTTTTGTCAAGTTATTAGGAATAATTAGGAGTTTTGGAGAGATTGACCTACCTCTCAAATTGTAGGTCAGGATTTGTCTTTCAGTTGATTTGATTAATAATAAGTCGTAATTCAGCTCTGATACCAATTCCATAGGTTTCAGAGATGAATCAATTTGGGGTTGGGCAAGGAGGATTTTGGGCTGGCTCTTCCGGATTTATGGAGAGTGGAGGAGAAACGGGAGGTTGGAGGCCTCCAATGGTGCGAAATTGGGGACCTAATTTGGGGTGGATTCTAGGGTAAGGGGCAAGGATGCATATGGATGGGTGTATAGGGTAGAGCGCTATTCCCCATCAATGGACTCTCAGAGAGGGAAAAACTGATGGCGGCGGCTTTATGTTTGGAGGGAAAGGCCCTTGCGTAGTTTCAATGGTGAGAACAACGACAACCATTGAGGTCGTGGGGTGAATTTAAGGACTGGCTGTTGGAGAGGTTTCGAGCCACTCAAAAGGGAGATCTACACGAATAGTTTTTTGCCCTGACCCAGGATAGGACGGTCATGGAGTATATGGAGAAATTTGAGCTGCTATCAGGTCGTTTAGGGGGAATCTCAGAAGTGGTGTTGGAGGGGAATTTTATGAAGGGACTGAAGCCGGAGATTCGAGCGACGCTGCGTTTGCTGAGACCGAGAGGGTTAGGGGAGACAATGGAGTTGGCACAGATGATTGAGGATAAGAATGCAGCAGCGCGAGTCAATAGGAGCAATTCAGTCTGTTTTTCATACCGAAACAGCACACCACCGAGAGGACAGAAAACTCAGACGTTGGGATTTCAGAGAGAGCCCCAAAAGGATCGGGTTAGTGGGGCATGTCCAGGAGTGACTTTCAAACGCCTCATTGAGACAGAGATTCAAGACAAGAGGGCGAAAGGGCTGTGCTTTTGATGCGATGAGAAAATCTTCACCTTGACGTGGCCGAAGTTTCACTTAATTTGGTGGTGGGATTTACACCGAACCACGCCATGAAGTTAAGGGGGAGTATCGGCGAACGGGATGTGGTGGTGTTGGTGGATGGTGGAGCGACCCACAATTTTATCTCCAATCGAGTAGTAGATAGATTGGGCCTCCATTTGACAGACACCGGCAGTTTTTGGGTGGTCATGGGTACTGGATTGGTGGAGAAGAGTAGGGGAATATGTAGAGGAGTGATCTTGAGGATACAGGGAGTTCAGGTGTTGGAGGATTTCCTTCTCCTGGATTTAGGAAGTACATATGTCATCTTGGGGATGAAGTGGTTACAGTCATTATGAGAGATGAGGGTAAATTGGAAGTTGTGGACAATGGACATTCAGTTGGGGGATCAAGCAACGGTTCTCCGGGGCAACCCGAGTCTATGCAAAACTCTGGTGTCGCTCAAGACTATGGTGAGGGCGATTTAGGACGTGGGGCGTTGATTTTTGATCGAGTTGCATAACCTCGAAGGGGAGCAGAGAGAGACAAACATGATGATTCCAGAGCAGGTTCAACAGCTGTTGAGGCGCTTTGAGGGAGTTTTCCGGATGTCGGAGGGGCTACCCCCACAACGGGATCACGAGCACGCAATCGTGCTTAAGGAAGGGGCCTCACCCATTAATGTCTACCCATATCGCTATCCCCAGATACAAAAGGATGAGATTGAGAGGCTGGTCAAGGAGATGTTAGAGGCAGGAATCATACAACCGAGCGTGAGTCCGTTTTCGAGCCCAATTTTGTTGGTGAAGAAAAGGATAGGACTTGGAGATTTTGCATCGACTATCGAGCCCTGAACAAGGAGACGATGCTGGATAAGTTTCCTATTCCAGTGATCGATGAGTTTTTGGATGAGTTGCATGGAGCAGCGGTGTTCACAAAGATTGACTTGAAGTCGGGATATCACCAGATTCGGATACGGCCAGAGGATGTGTATAAGACTGCATTTCGGACTCATAAGGGACATTATGAATTCTTGGTCATGTCGTTTGGCCTCACGAATGCTCCGGCCACTTTTCAGTCATTGATTAATAAAGTATTTCAACCTTATCTACGGAAGTTTGTCTTGGTTTTCTTTGACGACATCTTAGTCTAGAGCAATTCTCTGGAGAATCATGTGAGCCATTTGGAGATAGTGTTTGCTGAGTTATGGAAACATCAGTTGTTTGCCAATCGGAAGTGTTTGTTTGCTCAGGCGAGGGTGGAGTATTTGGGGCGTGTTGTGTTAGCTGAGGGGGTTTCAACAGACCAGTCTAAGGTGGTGGCGATGTTGGAGTGGCCATTACCTAAGACCCTGAAAGAGTTGAGGGGATCTTTGGGGCTCACTGGGTACTATCAGAAGTTTGTGAAGGGGTATAGCACCATAGCGTGGCCCCTGACGGAGCAGTTGAAGAAGGACAGCTTATAGTGGGGGGAAGCGGCGACTCAGGCTTTCGAGAAGCTGAAACGGGCCATGACCACTGTGCCGGTGTTGGCTTTACCGGACTTTAGCCAACCTTTTATTGTGGAGACGGATGCTTCGGGGTACGAGCTAAGGGCAATCCTCATGCAGAACCAGCGACCAATCGCTTATTTCAGCCAGGTGTTAACCGCACGGGCACATCTCAAGTCAGTTTATAAGCACGAACTCATGGCGATTGTGTTAGCCGTACAAAAGTGGAGGCCATACTTATTGGGGCGATGCTTCATTATCCGAACGGATTAGCGGAGTCTCAAGTTTATGTTGGAGCAACGGCTGGTGACTGAGGAACACCAGTGTTGGCTGTCTAAGCTGTTGGGGTATGACTTTGAGATACAGTATCGCCCGGGGTTGGAGAATAAGGTAGCGGATGCCTTGTCGAGACAGGTGGAGGAGCCACAGTTGGTAGCGTTATCGGTGCCATTGGTGATGGATTGGCAGGTGTTGCTGCGAGATATTGAGGCGGACGAGGGGTTGGAGAAGATCCGGACTGCGTTAGCGCGAGGGGAGACGGGATATTTGGGCTATTCTTTAGAGGGGCAACGATTGTTATACCAGGGGCGTCTCGTTTTGCTGAGAACATCGCCCCATATACCGAGGTTACTGCAGGAGTTTCATAGGAGTGCGGGTGGGGGTCACTCTGGGGTTCTTAAGACTTATCGGCGCTTGGCAGCTGAGTTGTATTGGGTGTGAATGAAGAAGGATGTGGAGGTGGTAGCCAGGTGCGATGTGTGTCAGCGTCACAAATACCAGGCAATGGTGCTAGGAGGGTTACTGCAACCTTTATCGCTACCGGATAAGGTTTGGGAGGAGGTGTCGATGGATTTCATTGAGGGGTTGCCTCGGTCGGATGGGTTTACGGTGATTTTGGTGGTGGTTGATCGTCTGAGTAACTATGCTCACTTCATACCCTTGCGACACTCTTATACCGCGGTGACAATGGCGGTAGCCTTTATGCGAGAGGTGGTGCGTTTATACGGGATTCCGGGGTCGATAGTGACGGACCGGGATAAGGTCTTTTTGAGCCATTTTTTGGAGAGAGTTGTTTAAGATGCAGGGGACGGTGTTGAAAAGGAGCATGGCTCATCATTCACAAACCGGCGGGCAGACTGAGGTAGTCAATCACAGTGTGGAGACTTATCTGCGGTGTTTTGTGTCAGATACGCCCAAGCAGTGGGCAAAGTGGTTGGCGTGGGCTGAGTATTGGTACAATACCTCTTACCATATTGCTTCACAGACCACTCCTTTTAAGATCTTATATGGACAGGACCCGCCGCATTTGGTGCATTATGGGAATAGCACGACACCTATGTCGCAGGTGGATCAGTACTTGGAAGAAAGGAATCGAATGTTGGAAGAGTTGAAGAGGCATTTGTCTAAGGCTCAGCAGATTATGAAGAAGCAGGCTGATGGTCATAGGAGGGATGTACAGTTTGTGGTGGGGGACCGGGTATACTTGAAGCTTCGACCATATCGGTAGAAGACCTTGGCGCGGCGGAGGAATGAGAAGCTCTCTCCTCGGTATTTTGGGCCTTATGAGATTATAGAGAGGATTGGCTAGGTGGCTTATCGTTTTAGGTTGCCACCCTCTTCGGCGATTCATCCGGTGTTTCATGTGTCTCAATTGAGACGGGCTATTGGAGACCATACACCCTCTCCTTTACTACCGCCTACGTTGACTGAAGATATGGAAGTTGTGTGCTTTAGAAGGCGTGCGCCAAGGGCTGTCTGGACAATCGGGTGATAAAGAGGTGCTGATTAGATGGAAGGATTTCCCAGACTATGAAGCGACGTAGGAACCGTTTGATTCAGGAGTAGTTTCTTTTGTTCCACCTTGAGGACAAGGTGTCTCATTGGGAGGGGAGTAATGTTAAGCCCAAGCCCCTATAGACTTATGTTAGGCGTAGGGTTAGGGGGCAAATTAGTCTTTTGGTATTTTATGGATTTAGGGCTTTAGTATAAAGAGGGCATTAGCAAGTTAATTATGTTTATGCTGAGTTTTGTCAAGTTATTAGGAATAATTAGGTGTTTTGAAGAGATTGACCTACCTTTCGAATTATAGGTCAGAATTTGTCTTTCAGTTGATTTGATTAATAATAATAAGTCCTATTTCAGCCCTAATCTCAATTGATTCTTCTCTAAAACCTATCATAGCATTATCAGTTTAAAGAAATGAGAGAGAAATTATTAACAATTGTTATGAAGAATTCAAATTATCATACTGAAAAGTAGATATAGATTTTTGAGATAAGTCATGGCTGAGCTGCAGAGAACCATTTTCAGTTTTTGGACAATGTTATTTTGAAAGTGAAGTTTGTGGATCCGGAAAGTCAAATGAAGACTCGGTATATGACTTTAAGGTGTTATAAGGATTATTGAAGAAGAAGGAAAAGGAAAAAATAAAAATAAAAAATCGGAAAAGAAATGAGGAGAACTGTGTCTTGATGTACTTAACTAAACCCCAAGAAATGAGAAATGAAGGATTATTGGGCTGATATGCTGCTAAACCCCAAGAATAAACTAACGAGACTGAATTTTTTTAGTGTCTTTTTTTTTTTTTTTGGGGGGGGGGGAAAAGAGACATAACGTAATATTAACTTGATTTTTTCTCTTCTTCACGTTCAGGCTCTGAAAGATCTATACGCTCATTTGGCACCGATTCAACGGCTAACTATTGCACGACATCCTAATAGGCCAACAGTTCTTGATCACATATTAAACATCACAGAAAAAGTAAGTCATTTTTTTATCAGATTTTTGAACTTGTTGCAAGGTCGGATCTTTATGTTAATGGCTTCGTTTACTATTTAGCTCTTCATTTTATAGTGGGTGGAACTCCATGGAGATCGCGCAGGCTATGATGATCCAGCTATTGTGACTGGTATCGGAAGCATAGACGGCAGGAGTTACATGTTCATAGGCCACCAGAAAGGTAGGAATACAAAGGAGAACATTGCTCGCAACTTTGCCATGCCAACTCCACATGGGTAAGTTTCTGGGGCCCTTTATCTTTGTGGTACAGCATGTAAAGAAAAAAAATACTGGTAAGATATAGTTCTGAACCGCCAAATCACATCAAATTAAAAAAGTACGACAGTTTTTAGAACTTGATGAAAATCTAACGGCTCAAATTGTACCTACTAGAGAATTCTCCTCAATCATATGAATAGTGAAACTTATAGAGAGTCCAAGCATTTTTAGTAATTATCATAATCAGTAACTTGTAGCTATAAAGTAAAAGTTCTAGGCTAAATCTGATAATTACATTTTATTTGTCTTGAGATATGGGATGTTTTCCTTGTGCAGCTCTTTATAAACATAAAGCGTAAATGATTATTCTCTCTACATGAGCTTTATGCATCATGATCTAGATTTAGATGAAAAGGATGCTCTTTTACTGAATGCGTTGTTTTTAAAACAGCTATCGGAAGGCTTTACGAATGATGAAATACGCTGATCACCATGGTCTTCCAATTGTTACATTTGTTGACACTCCTGGGGCCTTTGCCGATCTTAAATCTGAGGAACTTGGTCAAGTATGTATGTATTCAGCTTTCTATATTGTGATACTGCCATGTCTGTTTCATCTTGTTCAAATGTTCTCATGGACCACATTCCTTCTGTACTTGATTGTAGGGTGAAGCAATAGCCCATAATTTGAGAACCATGTTTGGCCTGAAAGTGCCAATTGTAACAGTTGTGACCGGAGAAGGTGGTTCTGGTGGAGCTCTCGCCATTGCTTGCGCAAATAAACTCTTTATGCTAGAAAACTCTGCTTTCTATGTTGCAAGGTGGTGTTTCATTTTTCTTCTTCTTCTAAATATACAACAGCTCAATACAACTCATCAAACTTCTCAGTAGATACTATATAGTTAATCCATAAAAGATGTTCTTCTACAATATATTCAATATTTGTGTAATATGTTCCTTGTGGCTCTGTTTATTGGAGCAGCCCTGAAGCATGTGCTGCAATACTATGGAAATCATCTCAAGCAGCTCCTAAGGTAACAAAATGATTACAATTATGCTGGTTTTATTTTGTTCTTTGACAGCTTATGTTTAGCATGAATTCAAACTTGAGCAGGCAGCCGAAAAGTTGAGGATAACAGCTCAAGAGCATTACAGACTCAAAATCGCTGACGGTGTGATTCCTGTAAGTTTTCTCTCTGTTTTCTTCTGCTTTTGACAAGGTCTGTAAATCTATGTGAGATGAAAATAAGTTTCATGGGATTCTAGAGTACTGCTTCTCTAGCCATCATTCTAGCCTAGAGAAAGAGTTTTCACACACACACATACAGGCAAAGACGGAAGTCCTTCACAGAGGACCAATTCGACATGTAACACATTGAAGTAGATAGTATGACGTGATATTTATTCTGTGTAACGACAACCAAATAGCAAAAATTGTCATCACAGGGTCTATCCTTGCTAGTTTCTTCCGAGCAACTTTATTGCTTTTGAGGTCTTATAATATATCTTGTTGTAAGTCAACCAAGATTGCACTATGAGTTGTATTTTACTATTGAACGCGCCGTTGCTGGTTTTTGCAGGAGCCTCTGGGTGGCGCACATGCTGATCCTGCATGGACTTCCCTACAGATTAAGTTAACAATTAACAAAGCAATGGAGGTGACTGTTTTACGTAGTTTTGCACGAGGAAAAAGTAACGAATATAAACATTTCTGCTATACATTTATCACGCTCTAAATATATTTTTGAACAGTTGAAAGTTCTAAAGTTGCATTCTGTCATTTCTGCTTCCACCATTACCCTTGGCTGCATGAAAAAGCCTATTTCCTTGTGAAACATCTTTTGCATGCATTATCTTAGTTTTACCACTCAATAAGACGTTATTTTCTTTTTGGTTTAATGATTTCCTAGTTATCCACCACTTACAGCTGTGCCAAATGCATGCAGGAACTGACAAAGATGGACACAGATGAGTTGCTCCGCCACCGGATGTGCAAATTCCGGTCAATTGGAGGCTTCCAAGAAGGAATACCAGTGGAGCCTAAGAGAAAAAGGAATATGAAGCTTTCTGAGGTTAGCATGCCAAAGACTGCTAATATAGAGTCAGAGATTGAGAATCTCAAGAAGAAGATTGCTGAAGCAAAGAAATCCTCTGATCCAGTTGTGATTGAATCAATTGAAAATCTGAAGCAAGAAGTAGACAAGGAGATCACAAATGCATTCATTTCAATGGGCTTACAAGACAAGCTTAAATCAGTTAAGATGGAATTATCTAAAGCTCCAACAGGCTCACCCAACCAGCCCCTAAAACGCGATTTGAAGGAGAAGGTGGACAAAATCGTGGAAGAATTCATGCGCAATTTGTCGCGGCCAGGGGCATGTCTTGGCTTAAAGCAGAAGCTTGGGAAACTTAACATGGTTAGCAGGATGATTGAGAAGAAGGAGAAAGGCCAGAAACTGCAGACACATATTAATCAGAGAATCCCTTCCGAGGTAAAAGCGAAGATAGAGCTTCTGAAGAAGGCTGAGGAAAACCTATCGAAGGGTGAACCATTCGATAAGGATTTGGTGGAAGAAGTAGAAAGAGCTAAGAAAGAGTTGATGGAAGTTTTGAAGTCTGCAAACTTGGAGATTGTTGGAGTGACCAAGAGGAAAAAAGTTGCGGCACCACCTCCGGAGTTGAAGGAGAAGATGGAATACTTGAACAAAGAGATTCATGAGGAGATTGAGAAGGCAATAAACCAAGCTGGTCTTAATGGGAAAATTGAGGAGTTGAAGGCAATTAGAGCAAACGGGTTAAGTTCAAAAGATATCGAAAAAGCAGAATTAGAGCTGAAAGAAAAGATTCTTGCTACTTTGGATAGTAGAAAACTCAAGGAAAAGGTTGAGAGTCTAAGAATGGAGTTCACATCAGTCAAGGAAACAGCTTCAGAAGGTAAGCGTGGTGTTGAAAATGGAAGACTTTAGATTGTGCGGGTGTGAAGCACTTAGTAACAAACATCATATATTCATATATGTTATATACATTGATTTTTTATTGTTTGAATCTCGCCTGTAGTGAGATGTTTTTGTAAGGCTGTCTTGTATTTGAACTTAGTTTTCTCCATTGCAATATTCCTTTGTCAATTGAACTTTTTGAGATGAACTTTTTAAGTCAAAAAATGAAGGAGAATAGTGGCAAAAATGATAAGATTAACTTGGAATTTTTGTAGAGAATGAACAGAGATAGTGACGGAAAATGACAAGGTATACGTGGTCTTTGCAAAACGCTAAAATATACACGCCCACGCCAAAAGGAAAATACTAAAGTAGTAATCTAAAGCGACTTTAGCCATCATGGCCAAAATTTCTTTCCACATATGATTAGGATATCCCCTTAATAATTTGCTTGGTGGAAAAATGACATAATACCAGTACTTATTTGTATCCTACAGACTTTATATGATTCATTTTTAAATCTTTAGCTTTTGTTTTCAGGTTCTGTAGTTTTTGCAACGAATAATAAGTATTAGTGCAGGGTATCACTGATGGTGGTAGGATAATCTCGTTTCATAACTCTTTTTCTTATCTGATATTTGATTTTTTGGGTTCGCACTTTGTACTTTGAAATGATATTGTATGTTTTATGTGCATAGATCTCTAAGAGCATCAACTGATCTAACAGCTATAAACTGGTTCTACCAAATAGAGAAACTCAATCGGAGGAGGTCTTTTTTTCTTAAAAAAAAAAAAAACTTGATGTTCTTATGCTTGATTTTAGTTCTCCTCAACAATAATAGTATTGATGATTATACCCCGCATTAACAAATCATTCTAATTGTTATGAAAACTAAGAAAATGCAAAACTAAGAAGAAAAATTTTAGAGAGAGAAACTAGAGAGAGTTTCATTAATCTTGTGAAGGTATATAAAATAAAGTGTCTTAGAGCTCTATTTATAGGAAAATTTTTGGCACTATTCACGATTACTATTTACATAGTAAGATTCTCACATGAACAATAACTTTAACTGACTTGCATAGTAACTTTGACTAATGTAGACAACTACTATTTATAACACTCCCCTTTAGATGTCCACCATTCATGATGCCTCATTAACAACCTTGCTAGGAAAAATCCAGTGAGATAAAAACCGTAGTAAAGGGAAAAAGAGTACATTATTTATCTATACATGTTTATGTTGCTTCGTTAAAAACCTTATCAGGAAAACCCAATGGGATAAAACTATAATAAGGAAAAAATAGTATAGCCACTTAAACTCCCCCTCAAGTTGACATGTATAGGCTTTCCTCATAAATTTAGTAGATAACGCATCTCGGTATTGTGGATATGCTTTCTCAATGTTGTAGTGGGAAGTGCCTTTGTGAAAAGATCTGATGTATTGTTACTTGATCGAATGTATTGAATATCAATATCCTTATTTTTTTTTTTTTTGAGCTCTTAGGAGTATGAGAAGAACTTTGGGGGTATGTGTTTCGTTCCGTCACTTTTGACGTAATCTTTCTTTATTTAAGTGACACATGCTGCATTGTCTTCAAATAATACTATTAGATCTTTACTGATAGATAGTCCGCAAGTTGCTTGGATATGTTGAGTCATAGACCTTAGCCATACACATTCTCGACTTGCTTCATGAAGTGCAATAACTTCGGCATGATTTGAAGAAGTGGCAACAAGTGTTTACTTTTGTGAACGCCATGAAACAACAGTACCTCCACATGTGAACACGTATCCAATTTGAGATCTGACTTTACGTGGATTTAGCAAATATCATGCATCTGCAAAGCCAATCATCTCTTATTTTGATCATTTATGATAAAATAATCTCAAATCAAATTTTCCTTAAAGATAACGGAATATATGCTTAATTCCGTTCCAATGTCTTCGTGTAGGAGATGAGCTAAATCTTGCTAATAGATTAGTAGCAAAAGCTATATCTGGTCGGGTATAGTTAGCAAGATACATAAAAGCTCATATTGCACTTAAATATGGTACTTCAGGACCGAGGATTTCAATATCTTCACAAGGGCAAAGTGGATCCTTTTTAACATTAAGTGATCTAACAATCATTGGAGTACTTAAACGGTTTGCTTTATCCATATTAAAGCATTTTAAGACCTTTTTAGTATAGGTTGATTGATGCACAAGTATTCTACTTTGAAGGTGCTCAATCTATAAACTAAGACAATATTTTGTATTTCTAAGGTCTTTCATTTGAAACTCATCTTTTAAGTATATCACGACTTCTTTAATTTCTTTATGAGTTCTAATGATGTTCAAATCATCAACAAAGACATCGATTATAACAAAACCAGATGTTGTTCTCTTAATAAAAACATATGGACATATGGGATTATTCACATATCCTTTTGTTGACAAATATTCGCTTAAGCGATTATACTACATGTGTTCAGATTGCTTCAACCCATATAATTATCTTTTTAACTTAATCGAACATATATCTTTAGGTTTTGAATTTAGTGCTTCAGCATCTTAAATCCATCAGGAATTTCATATAAAGATCACTATCAAGCGATCCATATAAATAAGTTGTAACAACATCCATAAGACGCATCTTTAAATTTTCAGAAATTGTTAGGCTAATTAAATATCTGAACGTAATTGCATCCATTACAGGAGAATACGTTTCCTCATAATTAATCCCGGGTCCTTGTGAAAAACCTTGTATAACAAGTTGAGCTTTATACTTTACAATTTCATTTTTCTCATTAGATTTTCGTACAAAAACCTATTAGTATCCCACAGATCTCATAGCTTCAGGCGTTAAGACAATAGGTCCAAAAACTTTACGCTTATTAAGCGAATTTAACTCAACCTGTATAGCATCTTTTCATTTGATATAATCGTGTCTATTTTGGCATTAAGAAACGGGTCTTGGTTCAAGATCCTCAATTCCGTTAATAATTTCACATGCCACAAAGTAAGAAAATATTTCATTAATATTTTTAATTTTATTTCGATTCCATAATCCTCCTATATTGATATAGTCAATAGAGATCTACTATTCTCAAAATATTCAGAATTTTCTACGATATCGAGAATCTCTTTGTTTGTATTATTTTGTGTTTCTCCTGGAACACTTTCCTCCAAATCGAGGTCATTATGCTCATTTGCTCACTTTCTTTTTTGAGGATTTTTGTCTTTGGAACCAATATGTCTACCACGCTTTAAGTGTGTTTTAGACATATTAATGACTTCATTCTCTGCCTGTCCTTTTGGGACTTTAATCAGGGCAGTGCATTTACAGCTGGTACATATGATTTAGTCACTCTTTTTGTATCAGTGAACGCATTTGGTAATTGATTTGCTAAGTTTTGTATGTGCATAATCTTTTACACTTATAGTTCACATTGCTTTGTGTAAGGATCAAGATGCAATAATGATGGTTCACACCATGTAATTTTCTTTTTCAGCTGTTTATTTTCTCCCCCTAATGCTAGGGAGACTACCTCATTAAAATGACAATCGGCAAAACGTGTCGTAAAAATATCACCAGTTTGAGGCTCAAGATATCTAATGATAGAAGAGGATGCATACCTAACGTATATTCCCAGTCTTCTTTAAGGAACCATCTTTGTACGTTGTGGTGGAGCAATTGGTACATATACTGCACAACTAAAAATTCTTAGATGAGAGATATTTGGTTCTTGACCAAATGCTAGTTGTACAGGGGAGTACTTATTATAAGCACTTGATCTGATGCGAATTAATGTAGCAGCATGTAAAATTGCATGACCCCATACATAAATAGGTAGCTTTATTTTCATTATAGATGGTCTAGCAATAAGTTGGAGGCGTTTAATCAACGATTCAACCAAACCATTTTGTGTATGCACTTGAGCAACATGATGTTCAACAATAATTATAATGGACATACAATAATCATTAAATGCTTGAGGTGTGAATTCACCGGCATTATCAAGTCTAACTTTTTTAATTGTATAGTGAGGAAATTGTGCTCGTAATTTAATTATTTGAGCAAGAAATCTCACAAATGGCACATTCTGAGTTGATAATAAGTAAACAGGTGACCATTTACTCGATGCATCTATTAATACCATAAAGTATCATAATGGGCCGCACAGTGGGTGTATAGGCCCACATATATCACCTTGAATACATTCAAGAAATGTATGTGATTCTGTTTCGATTTTGGCTGGTGAAGGCCTTGTAATCAGTTTACCAAGAGAACAAGCTTCACATAGAACTTTATTCATTTGAAAGATCTGCTAGCCTTTTAATGAATGTCCATGTGAACTTTCCACGATTCTTCGCATCATTATTGAACCAGGATGACCCAAACGGTCATGCCATAGGGCTAATATTTGGGGATCTTCTTTAACTACCATGTGTGACTCTATCACATTTATATATGTGTAATGTAATCCATAAGAGAGTTTTGAAAGTTGTTCTAATATGTACTTCTTTCCTAATACGTAAGTAATTAAATACATATATTTCTCATTTCCTTCAGTTTCTGATTGTGTATCATATCCATGAAGATATATGTCTTTGAAACTCAACAAATTCTTTTGGACTTAAGTGAAAATAGAGCATCATTTATGAAAAACTTTGTTCCATTTGGTAATACAAAACTTGCTTTACCAGTCTCCTCAATCAGATCTATAGGACATGATATTGTATTGATTATTGTTTTTACTAGTTTTAATCAGAGAAGTACTTTTCAGATTTTAGGATAGTGTGCGTTGTACCACTATCTGGAATACATATATCCCCGGTATTAATTTTGAACTTAGCTCTATTTAAGCTTCACACAAAAATAATAATAATATCATAAAAATTTCATGATTTTTAAGAAAATAGATAACATATGATTTTATGTAAATAAGTACAACATATATAGAGTAGATCCAATACAAAAACAAAATGCAATGCAAATACATAAGAGCATAATATATCTATCTAGTTATCACTAATAGTCTTATTTGTAAAGGCATTTGTAAAGTCTGAGACATCAACATGGGTTGAGTCATTTTTAGGATCATGGTGTTCATTAAAATTTACTTCCTTTTTTTTTCTCCTTCAAGGATGCCTTGTAAAGTTTATAAAGATGTTCCAGTGTTCGACAAATTCTAGACTAATGTCCTTTAATTCCGAATCTATAACAGGAATTTTCAGGATTCCGGGAACAACTTACATCAACATCTTTTCTTTTGTCATGACGGTTCTTCTGGATTACGTCATTTTGTGAATGGTTGTAGTAACCACTTCTACCATGGTCTCGACCACAATTTTGCCCCCATCTTAGATTTTTGGAGAATGCAGCATTTACTTCTGGAAATTCTGCTCAACCAATGAGACGAGCCTGATGATTTTTAATTAACAATTCATTTTTTTCTCTACCACAAGAAGAGCTGAGATTAGCTCAGAAAATTTCTTATAACCGCACAAACAGTATTGTTGTTGTAAGGTAATGTGAGATGCACGGAAAGTGGAGTAGATTTTCTCTAGCATTTCACCATCTGTGATATTTACTTCACAAAATTTCAGTTGCGAAATAATTCTAAACATGGCAGAGTTGTAATCGTTGACTTTCTTAAAATCTTAGAAACGTAAATTGTTCCACTCATCGTGAGTGGCGAGAAGTACGACTTCTTTCTGGTGGCCATATCTCTCTTTCAGACTTTTTCAAAGGACAAGTGAATCTTTAACCTTGAGGTATTCGCATTTCAAGCCTTCATCAAGATGATTACGAAGGAAAATCATTGCTTTCACCTTTTCTTATGTTGACTTGTTATTATGTCTTTAATGGTATCGGTTAGACCCATTGACTCTAGATGCATTTCTACATCTACGATCCAAAACATATAATTTTCCCGTGATGTTGAGTGCAACGAACTCAAGTTTGGCAAGATTCGACATGGTGATAACTATAATAGAACATCGATATATTAAGAATAAGAGTATTATTATTACAATAAAGATTACAAATTAAATTACATGTTAATAATACTAGCAATAAATAAACGGGAAAATATTATAAGTATGAGTATTGCAAGGAAAAATTGAAAATCCTGTGAGAATGATATCCAATAAAAAGAACAAAATATAGAAAATGATTATTAAAATAACAAACTTCATCATCATATTCGCCATATCGCAAAGGTTATATTAAGAACAGTGAAGAGAAGATGAGAGATGAAAAATAAAAATATTAAGAAGGGGGACGAGAAGATGAGAAGTTAATTGTATAGGTTAAGAAAAACCGTATTTATAGAGTAAAAAAAACTAGTCGTTTATAGTCATTAATAGTGGTGTAAAAATCTGTTATATTATCGTTAGAAGTAGAAAAATTACAATTGTATACCTCGAATGATGTAGAAAAATAAACATATGAGAATAACAATATGCATGTAGAAAGTGCAATGAGAAATTATTACCTGTAGGCGGCATAACCGTCCATTTATGAGAATACAAACACACCAAACTACTCGGTAACCCTTTTGAATGGTGTATAATGATAAAATTATAAAAATTTTAATACGTTGATGGCATAGCTCTCGTTTATATGAATATAAAATAATAGAGTATATTTACATACCTTTCACTTGAATTAATAAGGGTAGAAACTTGTAGTAGGACTAGGGTTAGGACCTACTTTTTTTTTTTTACTTTAAGGTAGATGTTTGTAATTTGATGAGAGCCTCATTTCTTTGAATTGATGAATGTAGACAATCGCAATAGGAATAGAACGTTCGTGCTGATAACGTGTTATAAAAATTAAGAAAATGAAAAACTAAGAAGAAAAACTTTAGAGAGAGAGTTTTATTAATCTTGTGAATGTATATAAAATGAAGAGCTTTAAAACTCTATTTATAGGAAAATTTTCATCACTATTCATGGTTATTATTTACACAGTAAGATTCTGACATAAACAATAACTTTAACTGACTTATATAATAACTTTAACTAAAGTGTACAACTACTATTCATAACACTAATTTTTCTCTTGCCCACAAATTATTTTTTTTATGCTATGTTTGGTAGGAAGGAAAGAAAATATGATAGAAAATAAATATGGAAGTGATGGAAAGGAAATTAATTTTCTTTTATGTTGTTTGGTACAAGAAGATGGAAAGAAAATGAGCTTACTTTCACTTGTTTGGTATTGAAAGTTAAATTGGGAGGAAAAAAAAATTTTAGTTGTAAATTACTTTTATACCCTTAAATTTTTGTTTGGATGTTGATGGAGAAAGGGGTAGTTTAGTAACTTTACTCACTTTAATTAGTTGTCCCCATTTTCGTCCCCATTTTCTGCCTATTTGTGGAAAGAAGAAAAATAGTGGGACCCACATATATTATTTTCTACTCTATTTTCTCTTCATTTCTCTTTTCTCTCCCACCAAACAACCTACATTTCCATTTTCTCTCCCACCAAACAACCTACATTTCCATTTTCTCTCCCAAAATCTCTCCACCTTCTTCCTTCCTTCTACTTTTCTTTCCTAATCTCTCCACCTTCTTCCTTCCTTCTACTTTTCTTTCCTACCAAATATACTCTTAGTTAGGGGTGGCAATTCGTGTCACGTGTCGTGTTCGTGTCGTGTTTTGATCGTTTCTTTCTAAATTTACAGTCAACCCGAACACGACCCGTGACACGAAATTTTTTAAAAACCGCAACACGAACACGATACGAAAATGACATGTGATACGAAATTGACCCGTGAACCCGAAATTGAAACGAAAATTGTATACTTTTATTTAGTTTTTTACATATTAAAAATAACTTAAAATTCATAACACACTAAAATACAATAACATCCATTGAAATTAAGCAAATAATACTATAAGATTTTAAGTATAACTATCATGATATTATAAGTTCATAATAAAATCAAAATATGTAATGAAAAATATATGTATTTTTTAGTTTTTTACGAGTTTCGTGTCGTGTTCAGGTTAGGCGGGTCCAACCCAAAATGGACCCGTGTTTTCATGTCAATTTCAGGTCGACCAAATTCTGACCCGAACCTCTTTTTTCTCAACCCTAACCGGTAAAATTCGTGTCGTTTTCGAGTCGTGTTGTCGTGTCGTGATCCATATTGCCGGCCATACTCTAAGGTATTGCCGGCCATTCTCTTAGGAGACGTTTGGTTTATGGATTAAAATCATGTGATTAGAACCATTTTTTATTTACATGTATTTTTTGTGAGAGAAAATACTGTAGCGAACCATGAACCATGATTCAAATCATGGTTTGAATTCTCCAACCAAACATCCCCTTAGTGTCTTGTTTGGTCTCGAGCATGTCCAAAATTTCAAAGGCACCCTCAAGATAAGAAAGAATTCACATATTGTCCGTTGTAATGATTTCTTATTCATTCTTTTGCTTTTAAATTATTTATTTATTATTCTTTTCTTCTTCTTCGAAAAGCAGTTATCTATCAATTGGGTTGTGCAATATTAAACACAATGAAAATAATTCCAAAATTATGCACTGCGCTATGCAAGCCCCATAATAATTCTTACAAGCCATCGCTTGATAATTACTGCAATACAAATAACTTCTTATATATATATATATATTCAATATAACACAGAGATTCAAAGAGTGATCCTATTCAACCAGTTGAGAATATCTCTCTCATAAGCTGTGGACTTCATCTGGTGGGACATTGTATGAGAGCAATCCGACTAATTGGATTACATAACATTTTTCTAATATAAAATCTATTAACAAGCATTTACATATAACGAAAAATGATAATTTTTTAAAGAGTGGAATGAAGATGATGCTTATATTGCATAATTGATTTGCATATACACTTTTAATATGATTTTACATTTAAAAAACATCACATCACATTAAAAATTATACGTTAATCTGATAATAAATTGATGCCTTATTAAGGTCTAGAGTTTAAATACTCCACATCTAATTTCAAAAACAACTCATAAGATCAATAAAAATACCGTTCCATACAAATCTTCATTAGAAATTTATATAAAAGCCAAAAATAAATGCAAATTTCAAATGTAATAAATAATATTATGACAAGACAAATTATTAAAAGAAAAATGGTATGACAAGGAAATGAAATCACCGTCAAGGAAAAGAAAACGAAAAAAAAAAAAAAAAAAGTGGATAAAAGAGCCAAACGAGGGAAAGTGGATGTGTTTTCATCAATTTTAGAATAGAAAAGATAAAGCAGATCAATAATGAAAAAAATAAAAGAAAGTCGGTGGTTTCATAAAATATCACAAAGACTAGGGCCATTCTGCAATTCAAACACAATCTTTATGACGCCCTAGAGAAAACTAAGGAGAAAGAAAAAGAATCAAAAGAGGCTTTCCTTTGGTTTTGTGACGGTTTTAAGTTCGACATTTTCGCATTCTTTCTCTTTCTGTTTGTTTCCCAAGAAAAAACTCACGCCATGAAAACACAATTCGTTGTTCTCTTTTTCCCCAACTAGCTCTCAAAACGTATTTCCCTCTCTGTTTCAGTTTGTAAAAAGAACCATTAACTCATTTTCGTTCTGGATCCGTAATCAAAGCCCTAACGTTGTTTGTTTGCTGCGGTTAACATCTCAGAAACTAGTGCTACCTAGAAAATCTTAGCTCGCTTTTCTCTTAATTTTTCTTTTCCTTTTCTCGAACTTTCTTGGTTAGGTTTCGGATTTTTCGGATTCTTCTTGCTTCTGCATATTCGTTTTCGATTTCCTTTTCTCTTCTTTAAAGAAAGGTTTACTTTTTTGTTTCCCTCTTCGATTCGCGATCTTTGCAAACCCTAGTACCTTTGCCTCGTGTGTTTTTTTCTTCGGTGGTTTTAGGGATTTCTAGGGTTTCGGGGTCTGAATCAGCGGCGATGAACAGTAACAGAGGGAGGTATCCACCAGGGATCGGTGCCGGCCGAGGCGGCGGAATGCACGCGAACCCGGCTTTTCAATCGAGAGCGCCGCAACAGCAGTACGTGCAGAGGAATTTGGTGCAGAACCAAACGCAGCAGCACTATATTCAGCAGCAACAACATCACCAACACCAACACCACCACCATCAGCAGCAGCAGCAGCACCAGTACCAGCAACAGCAACAGTGGCTGAGGAGGGGCCAATTGGGCGGCGTTGCGGATTCTGGCGTCGTTGACGAGGTCGAGAAGACCGTGCAGTCTGAAGCAGTGGACTCGAGGTGTGTGCATTTCTGTTGATATTATTGTGTTCGAGAATATATGTGATGGGTTGTTGAGTGTAGTTTGAGAGTTTAATATGCGAGAAAATTTCATTTTATATGAAATTGGGTTGGCATTATTTCACTTTGGAGAGTTGAGATTTCAATGGTTTCTCGAGTGGATTACAGAATCCAGATAATGTGAAGAAGAAATAGAACTGCTTGTTGAGTGGATGTGCTTTTTAGTGCAGTGTGACTTTGCTATGCTGGTGAAACTTCGTGTTATAGGGAATTTGGTTGTACTATTGCTATTTTGAAATGGTTAAGTGACTGTTGGAATGGAAGCATTAGGGGTTTGTAAATAATGTGAAGATGAGATAGAAATACATGCCACTTCTTATTGCGTGTGTTAATCTGTGCCAGGTTTAAGTATATGTTGTTAAAATGTAGTGAGTTTTCTAAGAATTTGGACTTTACTATTGGTCTATTTGCTGAAGTTTGGTCACAGCATTGAGCTTGGAGTGGAAACTTGAAGCGTTTACTGATAATGCAAAGGAGAAATAGGATTAAGTTAATTGCTTTTAGCATGTATATAGAACTTCTTGGGGGTTTTTTGTATCTTTTTTTTTTTTAATGTAGTTAATTGCCATTTAGCATGTATGTAGAGTAGAACTACGACGGGGTTTGTCTTTTTTGTCCTTTTTTTTAATGTAGTGTGAGTTCTTACTAGGGTGGAACAAGTTTGTTTTATAAGAAATTTAGCTGTATTATTTTGCTGTTTGTTGAAGCGGGAAAAGTGAAAATTAATATTGTAAAACTTGAGAAGATTATAATTGCATATTGATGGTCTTCGAATAGGCGCGTATGGCTGCTTTATTTTCCAGAATGAGCAAGCATTGTCAAGCTGGATTCTGAAAGTTTATAAATTAAAAAATTATGTGCCTGTTTATACATTATTTAGTATTACGTGCATATGAGATGCGGCATTTAGGAAATTGCAGGTGAATTCTTGAGATGTGTAATCTTTAGTTTGTAATTTGATTCTTCGTGGATTGAAGACATTGTGGTAATTCATTCGTAGTAGGTTTGTTTTCGTTGTTTGCTATAGAGATTAGAAATGCTTGTTTCTTTTTTCCCCGTATTTGCAATGGTAATGGTTTTGCAAACCTGCCTCGCGTTCTTTATTTTTTTTTCCCCAACTTTGACTAGTGTATATGAGTTTTGATTGGACACTAAAAGTCTCTCGGTTCTTTTTTCCCACAGTTCACAAGACTGGAAGGCAAGGTTAAAAATACCCCCACCTGATACCCGCTTTAGAACAGAGGTATTGTCTCTAACTCTTTCTTCACATGCTTGATCATTACTTTTCCATACCATACATGACTCTTGCTTATTAGCTTTACAAATAGAATTAATCTCGAGTTTCACGTTTCTCTCATTTTTTGTGGTTGAGTTGTTTCTACAATCTTAATTAATAGGTCACGTGGCTTGTATAGTTGACCTTTGACATCATATCTCTTTTGAGGTTGTTTGAACTTATATATTCTAAATTTCATGCCCTCGAGTTTTTTTTTTTTTTCCCCATCTCTTGTCCTGCTTGCTTTTTTCTTCTTCCAAGGTGGAATTCACTTGTTCAGTACTTTTGGGATGCACAGTGATGGGATCATACTCTCTTAAGGGGATTAGTTAACATGTTAATTGAATAATGACTGGGCGTGGTTTAGGTTTGATTATCATTGGCAGCTATATGAGATAAATAAGCAGTATTAACCTTTACCGTAATTTGGAAAGGTTGAGGACAAAGTACTGTTGCATTAAACAAGAGATCATAGAATTTTGGCTGAATTGGGTACTAAAGTGTTGTATTTGAACTATGAATGGATTTGATGGGTATTATTACTTTTGTGTGTATTTCGTGGGTCGTTTGTTCTCAGATATATGTTCACTGCAGTCTTGCATATGTGTAAAGCTAGGTTGGTCTCTTGTAGCTTTATTGGGGACAGAATGAGATGATGTTAGCTTTCGTTATTACCAAATGGTGAAAATTTTGTTGTGTGGAAATCATGTATCTGGAAAACTGCTGAATCAAACATCAAATTGTCTTCTTTACTTGTACGGCAAGTCTTTTTCTCTCCCCTTTTCCTCTTCCTAAGATAGTTAATAAAGTATAGTTCTATTTTAGCGTGAAGAAGTTACACTCCCTTATTTTTCTGTTTTGAATGAACCACTAAAAAGGGAAAAGGAATTGACATGTCAATGCTATACACAAAGTTTTAAAAGGCGGAATCGAGGCGTTTTGCCTTTGTGAGGCAAGGCATAAGCCTTAAAGAATTTAAAAAAAAAAAATTTAAAGAATAATAGTAGTAGTAATTAACACTAAACCCATGGTCAATAATCATTAAAAACAAGAAAATTAACTAATGAATCCACAAGAAAAACAAGTAGTTCATTACTAGAGGCATAAGAAAACCTAAATAGTTATCAAATCCTAATATCATAAGGTCCATAATTCACCTCTGAAAACCTAGATCTCTTGATTTGGTTAAGAACCCATAATTTTCCAATTAATGCTTCTATTCATGTATAAGTTTTTTTTTCCCATCCTAATATCATAAGGTCCAAATCATCACTACTGAGTGCATCTTTCCTTTTTTTTTTTTTTCTTATTCAGTTTTCCTTTGATGATATTGTGTTGTGCTGATGTGAATAGGGAGATGTGGGATGGATGGTGGGCTAGAAATGAAAACGGTCACTCCAGATGATTTCTTTGGTTTTAGGGGTTTTTTTAACCTTATTACAGGCCTAATTAATTCGGGCTTTTTTTAATTTTTGGGCCAAACAACAATTAGGTTTAAAAAAACCCAAAAAGACACTCACAAGCAAAAGGCACACGCCCTCAAACGCCTCTTGAGGCGCTGTCTGAGGCGCGCGCCTCACATGTATGAGGCGTGCACCTCATTCCCCCACCCTCAAAGATGCTTTGAGGCGGTTTTTGAGTTCCTTGCCATGAGGTGCGCCTTGAGGCGCCTGTCTCGGGTGCTTTTTAAAACTTGGCTATACATATCACCTTTTCTGCATTTTCTCCCTACAGGTCTGATCTCCTATTTGATGTTTTCTCCAGGATGTAACAGCAACTAAAGGAAATGAATTCGAGGACTATTTTCTGAAACGTGAGCTACTAATGGGAATATATGAGAAAGGGTTTGAAAGACCATCACCTATTCAGGAGGAGAGTATTCCAATTGCTCTTACCGGTAGTGATATTCTTGCTAGAGCCAAAAATGGGACTGGAAAAACGGCAGCCTTTTGCATCCCTGCCTTGGAAAAGATTGATCAAGATACAAATGCCATTCAAGGTTTGGTATCTTCTACTATATCAAAATGCTATACAGGCCCAACGTGCTCCTAGAATCTTTTCGCAACCTTGTGCCATTGTGCCCCCTCAAATTTTATTTCAAAATTTTAAATGGCATTTTTTAGAAGTATCAATTATGCCCCTGGTTGGCAATTGAAAATTCTAATTATACTCCGTTCTTTCAAATTTAAAAGCCCAACTACACTATTCTACTCCATTGACATTTCGCGCTTGAACTTTACAGAAAGTGCATGTGGTCCATCGTTTGATGCTGTTATTGTGCAATTTCATTTCTGATCTGACACAGCATTTTCATCCAGTTGTGATACTTGTCCCAACTCGCGAGTTGGCTCTTCAAACATCACAAGTCTGTAAGGAGCTTGGGAAGCATTTGAATATTCAAGTTATGGTTACAACTGGAGGTACCAGCTTAAAGGATGATATCATGCGTTTGTATCAACCTGTTCATTTACTTGTTGGAACTCCTGGAAGAATTTTAGATCTTGCAAAAAAGGGTGTCTGTGTCTTGAAGGACTGCAATATGCTTGTTATGGATGAGGTATGTACTTGAGTCTTCCTTGAATATATCTATGAATAACATATTGGTTGACAGTTGTAGTAATTTTATCTTCATTGTCATAGATTGTATATCATTTTGAGGTTGTATACGCTTGTTTGGTTCTTGTAGTGTTTGCTATTTGGTTGGTGATAGTATACGAACTCCATATTCTGACACTCGGTTTTTCAATTTCTCTCAGGCTGATAAACTTCTGTCACCAGAGTTTCAACCATCGATAGAGCAGCTGATTCGCTTTGTCCCTGAAAATCGACAAATTTTGATGTTTTCAGCTACATTTCCTGTCACTGTTAAGGACTTTAAGGATAGATATCTCCAAAAGCCTTATGTTATTAACCTTATGGATGAGCTTACTCTAAAGGGTATTACTCAATTTTATGCTTTTGTTGAAGAAAGGCAGAAAGTTCACTGCTTGAACACTCTTTTCTCCAAGGTTTGGTCTCAACTGAAGTACTGATCTGTGCAATTTTCTCTTTAATGTCCTTTTTTTTTGCTTGAACTCCTTAGTGTCTTTTGGATACGTTATCATTATTCTTTGTTTTTTTTTTTTTCCAGCTTCAAATAAACCAATCAATTATCTTCTGCAATTCTGTGAATCGGGTAGAATTGTTGGCCAAGAAAATTACAGAACTTGGCTATTCTTGTTTTTATATTCATGCAAAGATGCTCCAAGACCATCGTAATAGAGTTTTTCATGACTTCCGCAATGGTGCATGCAGGAATCTTGTTTGTACTGGTATGTTATTTGATGATTTTGCTGTTTTTGTCTATTTATTTTTATAATGAGTTTCTAAAAGTTCTCTTTTGCACAAGTACGTTGTGGTTGGTGTGATCTTCCTATTTGTTCCAGTTGAAGTAGTCTACTTGATAAGTTTCTTGTTTTAATAGATGCTTAAGGTATTTTGATTTCTCTTAGATATTTTGATTTCAATGTTAATTACTATTACTTCTTTTAGGGATGCAGCCCAATTGATTATTAGTACGTTCATTGAAGCATCTTTCTACTTAGAACTTTTGCCACTGTATATTATTTTAGCCACTCGTTCTAACGTCGTCTGAGTTCTTTTTATTTATTTATTATTTTTTTTTGGTCTTGTGCTGTCTTTCAAAATACAGTAATATATCATTCTAGAAACACACATGTAGTTTTTTTACGCTTTTTAATATGTTCCTTTGTGGGAATGACGTGCAGATTTATTTACTAGAGGAATAGACATTCAAGCAGTCAATGTGGTTATCAACTTCGATTTTCCCAAGAACTCAGAAACATATCTCCACAGGGTATGTAATATAGCTTTTATGTTAAAAGATTTTCACTTCTCAGTGCTTCCATCCGATTCCTTATTGTAATTTCTCATGCAGGTTGGTCGATCAGGAAGGTTTGGACATCTTGGTTTAGCTGTGAATTTGATCACATATGAGGATCGCTTTAACTTGTATGTGTTTCTCTTTGTACATATGAGTTTATACCTGAATGAATCTTTTGGGTGTCTTTACAATTTTGCAACCTTTGTGTTTATGCATAACTTTCCAACAGGTATAGGATTGAGCAGGAACTTGGCACCGAGATAAAGCAAATTCCACCCCATATTGATCAGGCAATTTATTGCCGGTGATTGGTTGCTCAAATCTACTCACAATGGCGAGTGGTAAAATTCAATCCCTTCCATTTGCTACGCTGCGCCGCCATTTCTAGTATTTTCTGAACCAGAGTAATTCTATCCTGCCCTTCACTAGGACCAATAACAATGTTTCTTTTCTCCTCCCATTCTCAAGGTTGATGAAGGTGCCTAGTCAAGAAGGAAATCTGGCTTTGCATTGTAGGAAACGCTCTGCATTGTTGTTGGCCCGTGGAATGCTTTTATTAGTTTATGATTTTCATATCCCTGAAACATTACCAGGACCTTAAGAGAATTCTAGATTGGCCTATAAAAGACAGCAGGTAGTTACACTGGGTCCAGTTCGCAGTTGCCTTTGATTCTATGTTATGCTCTCTACTTGGTTTGGTATTATTTGCCTTCTGTTCTATTTTGGTCGCAGATCTACTGTTGGAAGTGTACTTTTTATGCAGCTTTACACTTGAGAAAAATCTATTTGTTTTTGTTTTAATACTAGATGCAGTGGACTTGGTTAAATTATTTATCTACTTTTTAGAGTTTTGAAATAATGAGGTAGGCAAATATAAGTCTCATATATTTTGGTCCCTAATATCACCATTGCACCTAGGTCCTACTTGATGACTGAAAAGATATTGCGTATAAATACAAGAGCAGTAGACATGTTTTGCTCTGGTGGAATGGAATATCTGGCATGCACTTCTATAATTCTCATCTGGCTTTTTTTTTTTTCCTTTCCCCTGATGAAAGAAGTCTTCTACTCTTAGCGAAATATTATATGTAGGTCTGTATTTCTTGTTCCTGTTGGCAAGTCTTGGGTAAACAAATGTGTAAAGTAATTGAAGAACGGAAAAATGGCAATTTTTAGGTGGGGACTAATGATAGGGTTAACTAAACTTAAAATTAGTAGATAACATAATTAAAGTAATGTTTACTACACCACAAAATGTCATCAATACCCCTACTTATATTTCCTCCCTCCCTCTATTCTCGTTTCCGTCTTTGGTAAATGCTTGTAGTTCACAATCGTCGCTGTGAGGTCGGGTGTTGGCAACGATGGCGACAACTTTCTTGAGGTTGCTGTTGTTGCAATTGCTCGATCTTTGTTCTATTAGTAAGGGTGTTCACCCATTAGAATCCGCAGGTTAGAGGTCAATTCATATCAGATTTAAAACCTTAATATTGTGAAAATCTCAATTCCTATCTAATTCAAAACTTCATCATATTGGATCTAATTCAATGCAAAACCTATCGGATTTTAATGAATTACGGCCTTTAAAATTATAAATTATTAAACATCCATACAAAATAAAAAAAAAAGTCAAATCTTCATCATTTATTATAACTTAAAGTTTGCAACATCCATAACTCAAATAAAAAGAACATAATCATGTCATAAAATTGTTCAACCAAATTTAAATTGTCACAACCCAATTAATGATGACAAAATAGGTTCAGTAAAACTCAAAATGAAACTTAACCGTTCGTATTCATTACTTTAAAGTAGAGATATGGGCCAATAAATATAAATCATCAGAAAATATTTCATATAACTTACAGATTTTTTTTTTAAACAAATTAAAAAAACTTAAAAATATTATATATTCAAATACATATAATTATATATATAATAGGTTTTGGATTCACATATTTCGCTGATTGAAATGTGCTTAATCCGTAATGTGATCCAAAACCTTTGAATTGAGAAAGTCTCAATCTGTGTCCAATGTAAAACTTTTTTCAATCCAATCCAAAACTTTGGATTGAATTTGACGGCTCAATCGGATTGACTGATTCTGTGAACACCCTTAGTAGTTATGATGCTTGTTGTGAAGCCTTGAAATGTCACAATGGCACAATTGTCGGAGATAATCCATTGTGATCATGTAGATTTCCTAGTTGCGATGTTGGTCATGATCTTGACGGACGATGAAATCCGATTAATGAAAACGATGGTTGTAGCAAGAGATCTCACCTGAGTCACGACAGTGGTGATTGCTGTCACAAGGTTGAGGACGAGAACTTCATGAACCAAACGGAGAATAGCAAATGATGAACGCCATTTTTTATAATGTTCTCTAATGTTTTGTCGGTGTCATTTGTTGGGGAATGCACGATTATAGTTGCAAAAGAAATTGGGGAGAATTAGGGTTGGAGTTAGGCTTACACTATAAATAAAAAATTTGTAAAAAGAAAATGAATTTTTTAAAATTTATTGAAAATTTTAAAAATAAAAAAATGTAAATGTCTTACATTGTAAATAAAGAATTTTACAGTGTATATACCGTAAATTCAAAGATGATCATCATAAAAACAACATGGTAAATAAAAGATTTACATTGTAAATCTAAGATTTATTAGAGAACACATGCTATTGTTAAATTGTTAAATAAAGGAAAGATTGTTGGTAAAGTTGTAAATCTAAGGGTATGTTAGGAGGGAGAGATGGAGGGAAGGAGATAGATGGAGAGAGAGCCCTAATCTCTCGTTTGGTTGGAGAGAGATGAGAGGTAGAGAGAGCCTCTCTCCATCCGGGCCCACCATTTTGCATCATTTCTCTAATGGAAGAATTCATATAATCTATCCATTAAAAATTTGAAAAGACAATTTTATCTTTAAAAAGTTTAGTATGAAATTCGTAAAAAAAGATAAAAAAAGTAATTAAACAATTATTTATTCATCCATCTTTTTAACTCTCTTTCCTTCTACTAAACAACACAAAAGATTATTATAATTCTCTCTATCCCTCGTTATCTCCATCTCTCTTACCAAACGGAGCCTAAAGTTTACCAAATAACACAAATCAGTAAATAAAAAGATTTACATCGTAAAAATTATTCTTTTTTAATAAATAACAACTTGCATTAAATAATATTATATTTACTTTTGTTTTACCAAAAATTTACTATTTTATATTTACAAAAATTTTTGCATATAAATTAATATTGCAATTAGCCTTAAAGATCCACAAATGAAGTCTCAATTTGAGAGAGAGAGAGAGAGAGAGAGAGAGAGAGAGAGAGAGAGAGAAGAATGAACTATGACAAGCGTAAAACTCTTGAAACTAATGCCAATATAGGCAACATCCATATGTTTTTGGTCCTTCACAATTATTGTATTTTCTAAAATTCTAGGGCCTGTAAATTTTTATTCTCTGAGTCATTATGATTCTGAAAGGAAAATTTGTTGAGTTAAAATGAATGTAAGAGAATTTTTTTTTGCTCGAATGTTTCTTAAAATGGGAATGATGAATCGGTTTTAATAGGCTTTGGGATATTGCATGATCTGCCGATGCAATAAGTGTGGTCGGCCAGAGTGGGCCTTTTCTTCCCTTAGTCTTTATGAGATTGTGCTGTGCCTATTTAATACTGACCCCATTTGATTATATTATCACACGGTCTCTTTATGATCCACTCCAAGAAAAAAAAAAAAAAAAACAAAAACAAAAGAAAGAAAGAAAAAAAAAAAAAAAACTTTTAACAGTGAAAATAATCGACCCTAAAACAAAGCACGGCGCCGCTATGTTTTTGTAACCAAATTAGTCCCCGCAAAGACCCTGATATAGCCGAGTCGCCACAAACATGTAGTGGGAAATTCACCGACTAAGCGAATTTTTTCCTCAATAAAAGAAAAGGTCATCTTTACGTCTTCAATACAATGTTAAATTAGTTGGCCTATTACAAATTTTACCATTTAAGTGGGAATACTATTCTCTAATGCAGTACTCTAATTATTGTTAAATTTAACATGTTATATTTTATGTTAAATTGGCACCAAACATAACATATATATTCCAGATTTTAACATTTAATTTTTTTTGGTTGATATTTGATTTTTTTCATTTAATAATTAAAATATTGTCGTTCTAAATTATTCAAAATTTAAACTTATTTTATAAGTTTTAAAGTTTATTAATTATGATAAAAAAAATAGAGTTTCTCAAGTCAGTAGTGTTAGTTTCTGACCGTTGGATCATGTCAAAATCACGTCAAATTCAAAAACATATGCAGAACATACAGTTTTTAATGTAAATTAGATAATTAAAAATAAAAAACTACCAATAGTTCATTTTTGATCTTACTAGATAAACTCCCTAAAAAATAAATATTCTCTTTGAACTAATATTGTGTATTTAAAGTACAAAATAGAATAACATCTTAAATATATTATGTAACTTTCCAAATTTTAGTGCCAAATTTAATCTTTACATTAATGTTTACATCGAAGATAGATATGATTAATAGGCCATTACTAGGTACACTCAGTAAGGTATTCTGCATACTTAAAATGATTTTTGCCCCCCAAAAAAATTGTAATTTTGGTCGCATACTCCAACTTCAAAAGAGCTTTTCAGTTTTCACGATAGAGATGCTTTACCCGTAGTGGATATTCTTAGGGCTCGTTTAGTTCGCTGATTCGAGTTTTTAATTGGAGTTGAGATGTGATTTTATGTGAGAGCTTTTTACTATAATAAAACTCAAATTTTAAACTCAAATCGGTAAAATAAACGGGTCTAAATATTGACGAGGGAAAAAAACATTTTGCAAAGGTATATTGATCAACATCAAACCCAATCGACTAAACGATCACTTTTTTCTTGTTTTTTGCTAGTGATTAGAAACATAAAGATCCGTTTGTTTCAACTACTTAAACTCAAATCCTTAATTCTGTTATAATATTTTTCTCTTATAAAAATTTAAATTTCAAACATCAGAATCAAGAATCATGATTTGAGTATACTTTCGAATCGATGTCTTAGTTAAATAAAAAAATGAGTATTAAATTTGAAAAACAAATTCCTTGTCTCATTTTTATTATTTTGCTTAACAATAAAGAAAACTACCAGGTTTCTAGTGAAGCATGACTATGGTTGTTCATGGGTTGGGTTAGTACGGGGTAGGACTTTTTCTTCCCCCGCCCCAAAGGGTGCAGGTTACACATATTTGACCCCAACAATATTATAAAAATTTCACAACCCAATAATGTTTGGGTTGGGTTGGGGCGGTGCGGGGTGGGTTGGGTGGTCAGGTTCATGCTGCCAAACTTAAATATATCTAAACAATAGAAATTTTGAAAATTAACTTCAACATTTAAAGTTCATCATCAAATAGGAATAATACTAATCAGTCCATCATCAAACAATTGTCAATTCAAAGTTCAATTCAACATTAAACATGAAGCAAAGTAATCCATCGAGCATCAAACATAAAGCAAACATAAATTTAATCAAAATTCAAATCCATCCAAAGTAAGCACTGCAACGGCAACCATCATTATCAGTCCACACTCACAGGCTCCTCAGTGGCTGTAGTAAGACATGAAGTTAAGTTATCTACAAGAGAAATGAAAATAGATTAAGTAATTACTTGGATACTTTAGAGCTCATATAATAGAAATAGGTATAACATTAACATTTACGTATAAAGGTACATAAAATTGTCTTACCTAAATTTTCATAAGTCTCCAAGTCATCCAAATAGTCTCTTACTTGCATAGAA